TTTTCTAATGTATATTCGGAAGACTTGTTATTTCTTAAAAAATTATTTCATAAAGGAATGCGAAAACGATATTGATCATCGAAGCATGACCCAAAAGAAACAATATTGATCAGTTATTTAAAAATTTCAACCGAGGGAAAAGAATGAAGGCCGAGGCCCGAGGGCAAAATAGGAATTGAGTGCCATCTTGCATGATCATTGATTTTATTATTAATGCATTTAGCGTAAATTTCTTATCTAATAATTAAATTTTTAGATGTCTTATAAATGAAAAGCCATGCCTAAAGTTCCACTTGTCTATGCTGTTTTCTGACAATTTTGAGAAAGCTCAACTGAAATATAAATTGTAATAGTTCATTTCGAGGATATAAACAAAAATTCATACCGAACGTTGACATATGGGGAGCCGCAATTCGAAAAAATGGTCTCAATAGTTTATTCAGAAAAACGGTCTTAACCCCTTTATGTTAATTTCACTTTTTGCGTACTTCGCTAGATCTTAAGAACTTTTATCTTCATGACACACATTCTTTTCGCTTTAAAGTTTTTAAGATGTAACTAAATGGCCAAAATGTGAACTTAAAATTAGCGATCTCCTGACTATTTGACCGGAAATTGGGACTTTATTTTACAAATTGTAATCCTTTTGCACCATTGAAATTGGAACTTAGTTTATGTGATCGCAGTGGCCACAAGCTTCCAAACTCAACCTGGGCTCGGATGTACAGTACGAAAAAAAATAAAATAAAACGGACTACCCTGAATAATTTCTGATCTAATGATTGGATCTTCAATAATAGTTTGAGTCTATGGCCTCAAATGTGCTAATTAATCAGTGCAGACGATATTTTAAGTGACGAAATAAGACACAAAACATACTTTCTCGCAATAAACATATCATTTTCGACGGATTTGGATTTCTGACCTCCAAAATATAGGTGGTAGCTGCAATCTGGGAAATTTGGTCTAAATAGTTCGGTCAGGAGAGAGTGCAAAGTTTGGACCTCTTAATGTTAATTTTACTTTTTGCATATTGCGTTATATCTCGAAAACTTTTTAAGCGAATTAAAAAAAATTTCACTCAATAATAAAATTCGTTTATCCAAAGATAATTTCATTTAAAAATAATTTATAGTAAACATTCATTATTTTTCTATTATTTAATTTAAAAGATGGTCAAAGAATTTTTGAAAAGTAAGGCATACAATTTTTTGCATCATTTTAAAGAATATATTTTTACTTAGCGAAATACAAAATTTGAGCGAAATCGGTCGAATAGGAACTATTCGTCCGATTTCACTCAAATTTTGTTTTTTGCCATGTAAAATTATCTTCTTTAAAATGATACAAAAAATTATATACTTTACTTTTCAAACATTTTTCGACAATTATTAAATAAAATAAAAAAAAAACGTGATTAATGTTTACTAAAAATTATTTTTTGCATAGAATTATCTTTGGATAAACGAATTGCAAAAATTTTTCAATTCACTTAAAATGTTCTCGAGATATAGCGAAATACGCAAAAAGTAAAATTAACATTAAGGAGTCCAAACTTTAGAGCGCTCTCTCGGCCAAACTGTTGGGACAATGTTTCTCAGATTGTGGCTACCTCCTATATTTTGAGGATCAGAAATCCGAATCCGTTGAAAAAAGGTACGTTTATTCAGAGAAAGTATGTTTTTTTGTCTGATTTCGTAGCTTAAAATATAGTCTGCACTTGTTAATTAACATATTTGAGGTCACCTAGATTTGAGTCCCAGAACGTGAAGATCCGATTATTAGACCAAAAAAGTTATTCAGGGTGGTCCGTTTCTTTCTTTCTTTTTAATTTTTTCTCCTTGAGCACTGTATAGCTATGGTGGTTAGAGCACACTGCATGTCTGGGGTTCCTTGGCTCGAATCCTGCCAGTAGCCAACGAGCATCTCCCTTGCACATTTTTCTCTCCACATCACTTTTGAGACAATGCATTTTGCTCAAATATAAGTGTATGTTGTTTCAATTTTGATCAATATTTGTTTCAAATTCAACTAATATTTTTTTGCGGAGCTTTTTTGACAGATTTAGCTCAATTTTGAGGAACCCTTTTTTGCAGTGTATGCCTGAATCAAAATGTGAATCACAAATTATGTATAAATAAATTGTGTTTGAGGAGCGAAAAGCCATTTTATGTCATTTATGATCAAAATGTATCAATGAAATATATTGCTCAGATTTTTCACATTTAATTTTCCCTCTAATTTGTTTCCGAATTCATAAATCATTTTCGTTAGTGTGAATGTAATAATTAAATCATGGTCATCATAATCACCCGAAATAATTTATGCAACTGTAACAAGAATTTAATGCGATGAAATAACTATTTTAAATGAATTAATAACTATTTTTAGTAATAATATCAAAATAATAAAACTGATTTGAAAATAATAAAACGACCAAAGTTCATGACTCCAACAGGTTGAGCTGGCTCCCCCCCCCCAGTCAGCGCATTTAACGCGAGTTATAAGCTAAATAGCTTCAAAATACACCGGAAACAGTAATCCGGAAGTATAGGCAGTAAAGAGCTTGCAGTGTACTCGATATTGTAGAAAACATCATCCACAGCCCATTGGGCATCTTTAGTGCAACGTAAATAAAAGTATCGTATCATGCCGTAAGTAATAAACAGAGCACTTTTACACAAATATTAAAAAAAAAAATAGCCGAAGAAGGTTAGGTAAGTACTTTATTTACGTCGCACTAGAGCTGCACAATGGGCTATTGGCGTTGGTCTGGGAAACATCCCCGAGGATGACCCGAAGACATGCCATCGCTGTTTTGATCCTCAGCAGAAGAGGTGGCTCCCCTGCTTTAGTAGCCCGACAACTTGCGCGAAGTCAAGCAGTTTACGGTAGAACGCAGAACAGTTTAGCAAGGACTGATACCACGCACCCTCGGTTCTTACGCAGGCTGATCCAAGAGGTCACCAACCTGCTTACTGACCGCACTCATTGATGTCTGACTTCGGTGTTCCGCTGTCTTTACGATTAGTCCACTGCGGGACAGCAGAAGAATGAATTACACTCAAAACATGGCACATATCTTATGTTTTATTTAAGTCCCGAAAATTATTTTCCTAAATTGATTTAAGACTCATGACCTTTAAGAATTTATAAATTAGAGAAAACTCTTATACCAGGTAAAAATTATGCATAAATTTAAACGAAAATCATAAGAATAAAACCTTCTGGAATATTAAGCCTGTTCAAACATCGCTTCGAAAACATAACATAGGTGGAGGGACGCATCGGAAGTTTTAAAAGTTTATTCTGGTTTCACTCAATATTCATTTCTACGATACTGCATCAGTAGTTTCTAATCTGAATGCTTGAAAACAAAACGCATCTAAAATTCCCTATGAAGCGAAATTCAATTTCAAAACGAGTCCCGCAGTCAAGCATCACTGGCTGCCATCATTGTGCGGGTGGGTGACCACTTGGATCAGTCTGAATAAGGATCGAGGGTGTGAGGTATTGGTCCTAGTTAAACTGTTCTACCGTAAAGTGCTCGACTTCGAGTACAGGTCGTCGGGCTACCGAAGTGGGGGCCCCATCCCCTCTGCAGAGGATCAAAATTGCTATGGCATGTCTTCGGATCATCCTCAGGGATGTTTCCCTTAGGCTATACGACACGAGGCTAGTTGAAAGCAACTAGCGGTTTCGGTAAAGCCGAAACGTGCCATATGATGGTTGCCCGGTTGCTTTCAACTTGCAACTGAAGTTAAAACCTTTCAACTTTAGTGGAACAACCAGATTAGTTGAAACGTGTCATATAGTAGTTTCCAAATACTTTCAACCTTAACTAGCAACCATTTAGTAAACAAAATACACGTGCTGATTCTGACGCATCCTGAATTTTTATCTTTTAAATTTGAACTTGGTTTAATCTTCTAACTATGACTAGTTTTAAATGGAATTCTAGTGATATATGTATTTTTTTTTTGAAATTTTTCAAACGTATCCTTGTCTTTGGGACATAAATAGCAAAGATTATGCGAATAAACTAATTCCCTATAAACTAATTTCCTCTGTGGAGATATTAAAAGTTACAAATTATTATTGAATTTTAAAAGTGAATGAAAAAAAAAACTAGCATATTACTAATTACAAATGTTTAAATATTTGAAAATTCAAAATTATATAGCTTGAACGCTAAGCTTTTTAAACTCATTTTGACAGATTTTGATAGATATTTCTTTGACAGATATTTCCGAGTACTAATGAAATTTTGAAAGCAAACGAAAGAAATTATTTTGCTTTTAAATCACCTTTTTTCTGTTCTAGTTCTTCTTTCAGAACCTCAGCTATCAGCTCAACGCCTACTTCAAGTACATCGTCAATAATCGCTTCCATGATAATTAAAAGAGCTTTTAGCAATAAACTTTATTGAAAAATATAAGTTCTGGTATTGGACTGTTGTATACTATAATAACCCAATACCAGTGCCGTCCTATTCAGAGTTGGTTGAATAAGCGAAGGTTGTAACGTGTGATCACAAACGAGAAACCAAAAATCAGTTTCTTAACTTAGTTACACTGATCATTAAGACACGGTTCCCAGCAGATCACCGATGTCAAGCATCACTTGCTACGGTCAGTGTGCGGGTGGGTGACCACTTGGATCTGTCTGCGTAGGGACCGAGGGTGTGCGGTATTGGTCCTAGTTAAACTGCGCTACCGTAAAGTGCTCGACTTCGCGCGCAGGTCGTCGAGCTACCGAAGCGGGGGTGCCATCCCATCTGCAGAGGATGAAAATTGTGATGGCAAGTCTTCGGATCATCCTCAGGGATGTTTCNCGTCGCCAATAGCCCATTGTACAGCTCTAGTGCGACGTAAATTAACAACAATAACTTAGTTGCCTAGTGTCATCAGCACTAACCGTCACCAATAGGCCATTGTGCAGCTCTAGTGTGACGTAAATGAACAACAACAACCATTTCAAAACGGGCGATCTTTTCAGTTTGACATTTTTGTCTCTCGGCTATCTCGCGTGGCACAGCCTTTCCAGCAGTTGTGTCAGCTGTTTCCTTGTTTTGAAGAGCGAAACAAATACTTCAACTTAGATTAAAAATGATTATGTTTTTGTGCGAATTTTTCTGTGTCACGGTTCATTATGCATTAGTTTCGTTTGATTATGGCTTTGCTCACATGTTATTAAATGCATATGAAGGTTTTATTATGTTTTGAATAAATATAAGTGATGTTTTGTTTTCGTTCCTATGTTTTTAAAGTGGGGAACTATTGTGATGTAAAAGCTAAGCTGTCCAAGAAAGAAACAAAAAATGTTAAGGAATGACTGACATAAATATTAAAATAACAATCCAGGCAGCTATGAAAACTATCTTGAACTTTATGACAAATTCTTTAAAATTCTAGCAATATAAAATCTATTTTTAGTAATATAAAATCAAATAAAATGGCTGAAGTTGATCCAGAAACTTTGTTAGAATGGTTAAACATGGGGCAGGGAGATGAAAGAGACATGCAATTGATAGCTTTAGAACAATTATGCATGCTGTTATTAATGTCCGATAATGTTGATAGATGTTTTGAAAGGTAACTAAATTACTTTCGTTATAATTGTATAATTCCTGTTATTAAATTTCTTACCCGTGATTTCTACATTGTTTACTTTAACAACTGTCGTGATGTTTAAAATGTGTTGATATAAAAACTTTGCTTCAATAAATTTAGTATCTGAGGGTGAAACATCGCTTTGTAATTATGATATATTGTTTCATTATCTGACCATTCTTCGTAATGCAGTGAAAAAAAGCAATCAATATATCAATACTGAACTACACTACTAAAATCCTGCTGAAAACTGAAAGTAAGACATATACGACCACAACTAAAAGCTAAAAAAATCCATTTTCTAAATTTATTGCTATATTTTGTCCTTGGTGGTGGCTTTACCTTATTAGACTGAGCAAACTATGCTTTTAATTGTTCATCCATTCAAAATAAAGTATAACAGTATTCAGAATCATTTAGCATAATGCTGTTACTCCAGGTCAACATGTGATAGTAAAAATTTACCTCAATTATGCAATTTTCTTCATTACTTATCCCTTCAGATGGACCATAAAAAACCTCTTTCCACAGTATCTATATTAAAGATTCTCAGTATTGATACAGTTTTTATAGGTATGAAAAATACTTATTTAATACCCTGTATATTTTGTACTTATTAAAACTGAAACAATTACCATGATACTATTAGTGCCTATTACCCAACTAATTAAGCATTATTGGCGTCAATAATAACATGGCAATTTTTTAGTTTTCTCCTAAGCAAATTACTGCCATTAATTACAACCTTTTTGAGTGATGGGCTACTTGCATAGCAGGTTGACTAAGAAAGGGCCACACACATATTTATTATTTAATCATGTAAGTGGCAAATGTGATAATTTTTATATAAACGTTAGTGTTCTATCACTAAATTTTAATATAAAAAAATTAGCATACTTGCAGAAAATCAAATATTTTTAATTACTAGAATTCTTTAAAAAAAAAAAAAATTCATTAAAGAAACACTCATTTTCCAAAATAATTTTCCTTTTATCAATAAGTGATTTTGCATATATATGTATAAAAGGAAAAAAAAAGTGCTTAAATTTACAACGAAATCAGCACCAATAAAACTAGTCAGTTAGTAATTATTTAAATGCATGATCTGAAATTCGCATGTTGTTATAAGAAAACAACATTTTTAAAACCAGGAGGGACTGCATCGCCAATCATATTAAATGAGCCGGGATTTTATAATTGAAAAAAAAAACGAGTAAAAGGTAATTTGAATCTACAAAAATGGAAAAAATATTTCTTGTTGTTAAATGATTACTCAAATTGGAAATATGCGCATTGTATTTAAAATATTAGATTTTTTAAACCCATGCGGAATTTTGTTGCAGTAACTGTTGAAAAAGCGATCGAGGAACAAAATAGACTTACTATAGAATCTGTGCAAATTGAGCACATTAAAAAGTGATTACTCAAATTTGTAATGCAAATTTTTGAACTATTTTTTTTTAAGTAAAAAAATTCATTTTGTTCAGAAGCTCCACAGGCTGCACTCACAATCCGGCAGGCCATAGGTTGTGCATTCTTAGTCTATTAATTAAATTGTTAGATTTCTTAATTCTTAGATTTCTTAAATAGATTTATCCATTAATATTGCTTTTAGCATGTTTTTTTAAAAATGATTTCATGCAGTAATTATTACTAAAATGAACTAAGCATCAATAACATGGCTTTTTTTTAACATTTCCTCTAAGTGATTTCGTGCCATTTCTCTATTAATTTTGTATTATAGTAAGTAATTTTATTCATTTCATTTTGTACTTATTATTAAAATTAATTAGGCATCATTGGCGTCTTTAATAGTTTGATTTTTCAAGTCTCTCTTAAAGGAATTAGTACCAGTTCTCTATTAATTTTTCCTTTTAGTACACAGATTATATTTTAATTCAATTTGTACATATTGCCAAAATAGATTTAGCCTCAATGGAGTCAATAATAGTATGGCAATTTTTCATGGTTCTATTTAAAAAATAAATACCACTTCTTCCTTAATTTTGCGTACTGGAGCATAGTTTTATTAAATTATTATCTATTAACTAATTTAAAATACTGTAATTGGCATCAATTGATTGTTTTGATTTTTTCGTTTCTTCTATACAAATTAGTACTATTTCTTCATTACTTTCACTTAACTTATACATAACTTATTTTTTTCTTAAATTATTTTGATTTACAGATTCATGTTTTAAAAGTATAACTGTAAACAAAATAAGCAATTGGTTTCAAATAGCTTTAGAAATATTAATTCTGGGATGTAATCTGTCAATGCTGTCATGTTCATGCTGATCATTGAGTATCTGAAATAACAAATAAAAAATTATTAAATGTTTGTGGCGTAACTACCACCTCGATTTTTAAGCATCAGTTCACTACTATATAAGACATGCTAACTCGATTTAATCTTGAGGTACTTTTTGATAGAGGAAATTTGGCTTAGTCGAACGTTCTTTCCCCACATTAGAGACCTGCTTATGTGATATGAACTCGTTTACATCGAAAGTAACGCCCACTTCGATGAATGGTCTTCATTGAACAGTTGATTTGTTATTTGTGACTGTGTTATCATCTTCCTCATGCTGTTGTTTCTCAGTCTCATTTACACATTATGGGATCTTGCACACGCTCGACTGCTTATAGCAACACAGGAGAGATCACATACACAACCGTGAACTTATTACAGCTCTTACCACAAGTGTTCAAAATCCGGTGAACTTAACACAGCTTTCCTGGTCTTTCGCGAATACATTGGATTCTATCTGTGATAAAATTCAGGTGGGGAAGTATTGTGGCATAACTGCCATTACGTATATTAAACATTAATTCATTAATATATATGACATACTAACTCAATTCCGTCTTAGAGTACGTTTTGATAGATGACGGTAGACATTGTCGATAACTCTTTTCCCCACGTATTAAAGAACGTGCAAAATAATCTTTCTTTAATTAAAGATCTAAAATAATATCCCTGATGTAATCTTTAAAATATTTGAAAGAAAGAAAATCATTTGCAGAAGTCTCATTTTTATCAATGGTGAGCCAGTAAAAGAATTCTAATTTTCAAATGTCTCTCCCAAACCACCTAACAGAAAGATTTTAAGGATTGGTGACTGAAATGGCCCTTTCTGCCACTGTTCAAATTTCAAGTCACTAGTTAAAATGGAGCACTCACATTAACTAACTCTTGATTTTATTGTTATAGATTATAATAGTTTCACTATTAGTTTATTTTTTCATACTAATTGTTAATATTAGTAAATTTTTTTTTGTCAAAGTTGGTTATAATTGAAGAGCATAGTGGAAGAACCGGCTAAGTGACAGTTTAGTGATTTTTAGTAAATTACCGCTGAAGTTTATATGTTCCTCCTTTTTTTTGTTTAATCTTTATGTTTTTAGTTTGTTTGTAAGAGCATAACTCACAAAATTTTTAGGGGTTGATTTTTTTGACTCTCTTATATAAAATAAGATTTTGATTTTTGCCAGTACCATTTGCTTGTTTTCACCGATGATTTTTAATGTTTTTAATCGAATTTAATTTTGTTTGAAAAGACAAAATAAATATAATTAGGCTTATATTCATAACTAGGGGGCAGAGCCCCCTGCTCGGCCAACCTCCAATAATTGCTTCGCAATTAATTTCTGTTTGCTTCGCAAGCAAAAGTTAAGAAACTCTCTATAATATAAAAAATTGACTTATAATTTTAAATAAAAGTCTATATACTCACTATCAATCAAAAATAATGTCAGTCAAAAATTCTGACTAAATCAATTCAAAGTGTAATACATTGCAGATTTAAAGAAAAATACTTTATACATTGTAAAATGATAAAAATTAAAAAAAAAAAAAGAAAAAATACTATGTAATAAATTTTTTTTACATTTCACAAAACTTCTTTGAATACAACATTTCTTACTGCATAACTGATTGGATAATAATCAAAATTAAAAAAAATACTTTAATGCATTACTATATACAATGCTGTATATATCTGAAAATGCTGTATATATTTGATGTATATACAGTCAATTCGCTATAACTCGAAGTACGATAACTCGAATATTACTATAACTCGATTTTTTTATGAGGTCCCGACCCTTTTATCTTCAATTTCATGTTAATTATTCTCGATTACTCGAATTTTACTCCCTTTAACTCGATTTTTTTTTTGGGATCTTTTAAAGCAAGAAAAAAAACCTAGGAGCTGATATCTTGCCCCTTCCTTTGCAACACACACACAATGCCTTTCGCACTCTTCATGGAGAAGCTAAAGCTGTCCCTCTTGAAGTATGTGAACAGTGGTTAAATGAAACGTTACCAAATTTACTTCAAGGATACAGTGAAAAGGATGAGTGATGTTTTCATTATTGATGAAATGGGTTTATTTTTTAAATGTCTTCCAAATAAGACTATGATGTTTAAGGATGAAAACTGCTCAGGGGGTAAAATGAGCAAAGAACGTTTGACTGTCCTAGTTGGAGGAAATGCGTCTGGGACAGAGAAATTGCCCTTACTTGTTATCGTTATCCATGATCCGAAATCCCCGATGTTTCAAAAATTTAAAAACGTGTCCTTTGAATTACAAGTCTAACAAAAAGTTTTGGATGACATCAGTTTTATTTGAAGACTATGTAGGAAAATTTGATCGGAAATTCTTCGCTAAAAAAAGAAAAGTGATACTCTTTATGGATAAATGCACAGCGCATAATGATCTACCTAATTTGAAAGCAGTAAACTTGCAGTTTCTCCCGCCAAACACAACAGCAAAGTTGCAGCCGATGGACTAGGGTATCATAAAGTGCTTCAAACAGTCTTATCGTAAATGGCTTGTCAGAAAATTTATCTTAAATATTGTAAGCATTTAGAAGTTTTGTAATTAATAAGCATTAATTAAATAATCTGACAATATTTTGAAAGTCAAAAACCGAAACTAATGGTAAGTCGAACTTCCGATATGTCGAAGTTTTTCGTC